AACCAATGTGGAGAAGAGATTGGCGGCCAGGCACAACAGTAATAGTATCTTAAACTATGCTTGTTGATATAGGCGAGCAGTACCTTGCATCATAGTAACCCGTGTAAGGGCCGTAGCAAACAATGTTTTAAAGCCTTAAGTCTATATATATGAAAGGATAGCCATACGCCAATGCTAATGGTACTCGCGAAAGGAGGCAGCAGTAGCTCACCAAGCAAACTGGATGAAACAAAACATATTATAGAGCACATTGAAAAGGGAAGACTACAACAAATGAGCCATTGAAAGGGTAACGATATGGCATACTCATTCATAACATACATTTCATCTGCTGATTCAGCCCTATTTCCATACCCTAAGCTTGCACCATACATTTTTCATTTTGTGTCGTATATTTTCATCAGCATTGCGAGATTGTGGGTCTCCTTGTGCTGAAGATGACTCGGTAGACACCGGAGTAACCGGTGAATCGGCCTCCCAAGAGCTTTTTCGAAGATCAGGTCGATAGGGTCTTCTGTGTTGACGTATGAATTTTGATTCCTGACCCCCGAGACTCTCATAATGGAAAAACCGCTCATATGACTTGCATCCAAGATTAGCCAAAGACGTCTATAATAGTAGTGCTCGGTTTGTGTTCGAGCTGTTACAGAATGCCGATGATAACAGTTACTCTAAGGCCAAATCCCGTTCGGAAGCACCCTACGTTTCATTTCGCGTCTACCCGCGACAAATTGTTCTCGAGTGTAATGAGGGTGGCTTCACGCCAGAGGACCTGATCGCGATCTGCAATATTGGAAACAGTTCAAAAACTAGTGTCCAAGTATATGTTGGAGAAAATAACATTGGCTTTAAGTCGGTATTCATGGTCGCGTGGAAAGTTCTCGTCCACTCCCCTAAGTATCGTCCAAGAGACTTGAAATTGTTGATGGGGTACGGCCTTGTTTATTTGAGCAATTATGGGTTCCTGGAAAGGGTTCGCCAGGATCTTAGCCGCGACGACTCACTGATAAGATCATTCAGTGTTGATGATGATTGGCATTTGCGTGTGGCTAGGGTCCTGATGTCAGCCTACCAGGAGAGGCCCAAATCGGTGTCTGCGCTTGCTATTATCCCCCTGACTAACGGCGAATGGAAATCTTCAACCTCCATAAAGACCCATCGCATCTACCATTCTCACTGTAACGGTTACCACATCCCCGAAGTGAACATGCCTTTGGTAGACCCGCGAGCTGAGAAGAACCCCGACCGAGAAAGACTATTCAGTCAACTTGGTGTTAAGAATCCGTATCTCGGGTTCGAGACGCTGTTATTCGTACCGATTACAACAGAACGGTTGACCTCGACGGTTCTCGAGCACAGCTGGAATTTCTCTACCTTATGGCCCATCTTGACCGCCGAATTGATTCTGCGCATTTCTACAGCGACATGGATCTCATAGACCAGCAGAACAGATACCAGGAGCCGGATTCACATACTTTTTACTTTCCTGGAAAGGACATGTACAGTGCCGAGCAATTACTGACGCCGACGAAACCTGACGGGACCGGGAAGAGTTCAAGGCCGGGCGTTTACATCCTACATAGTCGCTATATGGAACCCCGCCCTATAAAGCCAATTGGGGAACGCCGGACATGGATGACGTGGTTGTCAGAGTCACTGCAAGTCCGCAACACCATTCCAATTACAGATTCCAACCGGTTGAGCCCAGAGTGTACCTTCATAGCCGAGCATCATCCTGAGAAATTTGTAGGGTTCTTGGTCAAGAACTGGAAATTCGATTCTGCTCTCCTGGGAAAACCCAAACTGATTGATGAGTTGTTGAAACTTAAGGTTGTCTGTGAGAGTGAATCAAGCTATTCTCTGGGCGAGACATATATCCCGGTTCCTGAGATTTCATATCTCAGAAAATTTCTTCTGGATGAAGATGATTTCCCATGGCTTAAAACGAATAATTCCTGGCTTCCTGAACTCAACGATATGACTAAAGCATTGGGTTTCGGCTATCCAAAATCTGAGTTGGAAGCCTACCTGCGAGCTCTACAGTCTATCAAGGAATCTAGTGATGGTAATCATACAACACCCAATGAGACCGAGCGTGTCTACGATCTGTATGCACGCATCCAGGCTCAGTACAGTGAGTCCTCAACACCAGACTCTTATCGTTCAATTCTTCGGTATAATATAAGTGCATTCGAGGAGTTTTCGATATGTTGATTGTCTACTTAGGACTGCTTTCGCTTCTCAAAAACTCATTCACGTACCAAAAATGGATGATGAAGAAGGGCCGTATCGGGAGTCCTCAGACAATTGCTTGTGGGAAGCGCCCCAATCCATGGAATGCAAAATCCCTCTAAAATGGAAGTACAACGACGTGAAGCATGGAAGTTGTCTTGCCAAGCTCTTCAACAAAACGCTAGGTATACCAAACGTTGGGTTGAACGACTTACTGAACGAGCTGCAATCTTCATCTGTAGAGGGCTGCGACAATCCCGACAGAATCCTAATCCTGTACAGAGAAAAGATAAATGCCGCCCGAAGATGAATAAGGAGATTACAGTAAAAGTCCGGTAAGCCATCTATATCGCCGCCCGATGGCAGTGAAACTTACAGCTTCTAGGCGGCGCTTCGAACTGAGGAAACTTATTTATAGTAACGGGAAAGCCACAGGTGAATGGCATAGTCCATCGCAATGTTTGTGGTCGACTGTCACCAATACCGGAGGGATCGTAACGCTCAAGGACCTCTACAAAGACCTGCAAAACTTCTTTGTCGAGCTACTAGGTGTTCAAACATTGACAGCGGAAATGGTGTACAGCAAGCTTCTTGAGCAGAGACGCGGGATGACACCTATCAACGAGGTCAAAGATACCATCTGGCTTCTGAATTCGTACCTACAGAGTGAGCAAGATCCTCCTAGCTCAACTAGCCTACTCGAAAGTAGAGAGTTCCCAGTGAGATATCCCAACGGTGTCGTAGAGCTGCGCAGCTCTACAGTTGACTTCACCATATCTGACCGAAAACATCTGTCACAATATTTCTTCGACAAAGCCCTGTTCCTTGACTTTAGTACTGAAGAGGTATTGCAGCTAGAGCCTTTCATCGAATGGGCTAACATTGAGACACGCTATATCTCGTCCTGCGTGAAGGAGATTTCCTCCCATACGAGCGACTCTTACAGGTCGCTGACGTCTCCAGATCAAAAGATATCTCAGAAGGCTTACGGGCTGCTGCAGTGAGCTCTATTAATAAAATTGCAAGGACGTGCAAATTCATTAACTCCATACTAAAATCGCGGTACAATATGAAAGCCCACGAATAGTGGACGGAGAAGCGTCGTTTTACGACTTACTGAAGAACATCGATGTTCGCGAAACCGATGGGATCACCTCTGAACTACATCTACAGCAGGATGGGAAGGAAATCAAAGCGAAAGTCTCTGAGGGCGAGATACACATCGAAGAAATAACGGATGGGCTGTACATCTATGTGCCGTGGGATGCGAAAGCCCAGTACATCTGCTTCCTGGACAGAATACACAAAGATCTCTTGGAGTGGATTCTGACGGAGCCGTCTACGGCAATTTCTAAACCGTACAGCGAGAAGGCACTAACTCTAATGAAAACTATTCTACAGGCGCCGGTAGACTATGTTTCTGTTATCCTAGATAGGGCTGGTATAGTCCCCATTGAGACACCGGAGGACTTGTCCGGTGTCGATGTTGACGCTTCCAATCCTACCGACCAGACATCTGTTGAGAACGGCCATGCTATACGAGGGTCAAGTTGCCGCAGCGATAGCATATCAGCCTGCGATGCAAATGATACAATTGCGAATGAGCTATCTGATGATGGAAATGAGGCCCAAGACCTGGGTGAGCAATAATTCACAGAATCACGCACCTACCCGCTTCAGATGGACCCTGATCTCAAGGAATCCTTCGCTGCCGACTTCGACCTCCAGAAACGGAGTAGGTCTGGCACATTGCATGCCGACCCCGCATACTTCGATTTCCTTGACTCGTCGTGAACGCCGCCAGGGATAATCCATTCCCAAGTCAGGGTCCATTTAACAGGGAATCCCTCAGTCGAGCACTGACTGTTCGGCTGTTTGACGACGATAACCCTGTCTGTTTTCGCACCTTCCACATTGCGAACAAACATTGAAATCGCTGCCATAGGAGAGCTATTTGTAAATGGCTATATATAGACTTCGAAAAATCGTCTCGCCTAGATTTAGACCTTGCCACTTTCACTAATGAAGCTTCATATGATTAATATCAGCAGCGGCCAAACGTTTGCGAAGATAAACTCTTTCGTAGTAAAGAAATTCTCATTGTATTCTCTGCTTTTATTGCATGACAATCCTATCGTTTTGCTTACGCCTTTATTTCAGATATCATCCACACCGTCGCCTCAACGAACCCATTTGTCGGCTATGCTATCTTTGAGCTGGACAACCCAGGCTCAAGACCCCAATACCTCACGACTAGGTATACACTGTCGACTCCCTGTATGAGGATTGATCATATCACCATTCCCAACCCTCTGTGCCCCCATTGAAACTCTGAAACGAGTACCGAAAGTCTTGGGAGTCGGGAACTTTGGTGAGCCCAGAACTAGAGTAGCGGAGTTTAGTCCAGGCCTGGGGCGTGACTACATGAATCGCCATGAACCAATTGATGAAGAAGCTAAGATAGAACTTGTTAGCTCCGATGGCAGTAGTATGAATCAGGAAGTATTTAACTTACACTGCTTGTTTGCTCAAAGAATTCTTCAGGGGACAGATGGCGTGGTAACTAAATCTCTGTCTTTCTTTTTTTTGCAATGCGCGACGAGGACCTGGTAAACGTATGCCCCAGCGCAGTCTGTTTTGTTCAGTCAACAACTATTCCATGCACAAGCATGCTACAACTTACTAATTCCTTCCCATGCCTGACTCCATAATAGCTTCCTCTCGCGTCGGTTGCCCTGATGGCTGTAGCGAGAATGCATTCTCGTAGAGATACTGCGCTGACAGTCGATGTGGCGCTTGCACTGATGGGCTCCGACACAGCAAAATGGGTGTCATCTACACGTTTCAGAAACCACGTCTGTTGATAGGTGGTATAAAACCCGAAACGGCAATAGTGATCATCCATATAGCGCGCGAGCTGGCCTATGTGTCCAATAGCATTAGTGAAGGTACGAATTGAAACGCCCCGGACGCACTTGAAGATTTACCGAGTTTGTCAGCCAAGAACTCATCCCAGGTTTGCTTTTCGTGGGGCTTGAATGCCCAGTAGGTCTTGATTTCGGCCAGTGAACGGATATGGTGCTTTTTGTTCTCGACCACGACAATATCTGGGAAAAGTGTCGTTCCTCGACCTGCAACGCGACTACTCTTCTCGCCCTCGTCGTCCTTCTTCCGGTGCACCCCCCATTGGGAATCGCCAAAGGAGACACCGAACCTCAGCAATTTGACGATGTCACCCACGGGGTGCAAGGCGTTCTGAACAAAACGTCCCTGCACCCCGATCTCGTTCGCGACACCAAAGCTTTCACTGGGAACAATAGGGGCGAAATCGTGCACTGTCCCACAAAACGGAGCAACCAGGCTCTTGACCTCATCCGCAAAGTTGGTCCAACTGACGATCTGCTCGGGTTTTAATAGGTATTCGGAGCCCCCGACCCTCGCCGTCCGATATTTCTCCTCATTTATGAGCTCGGGGAGCGGGGTCCAAATGCAACGCCGGTGCGAATGTGGCAGGAGAAGGTATGCCATCTTTTCGATTGGTCGACAAAAAGCCTCTATCTTTACCTGAACGAGTGTAGGAGGTGATAGAAGGTGGTTGCAGCAATCCCAAAGTCAACACAGAGAGTAAGTTACTATGGCCGTTGTTTCCCGACGACAATTCTATTCATATGCGAATATCAAGTCCTATGATTGGCGTGCAAACGAGTATTCACTGCACGTAAATTTTCTATTCTTCCTTTCTCATGTTATGATCAATGTATTCCTTGCTCAACTACCTCTGGGAAAAAACGAGCAGCCTAGGTTACATAACTCTTAAATATTGAGTGTTAAGCATCTCCACTTGATAAGCTGAAACAATGTCTTATCTAGAAATGATGATGAACAGAATATCATGCTAACTACAGCACCATTTATTTTCCGATGCAGGCATCGGGGTGATGTAAAGCCGCTTCTAAGAGGTATGCGATCAAGATGGCATGCAGTCATGCTTACTGGTTGGCTTTGTAGTTGCCCTTCTATACATGCTGAATTTCCGATTATAGAACGGTACGGCGCTATGATAACATATATATAAGCTTGCTAAAGTACGGGAGCGTTTATTGCCCACCTGATGTTCCATGGTTCAAATATCACAGCGTATACTAATTTGATCACGATACTCATCTTTCAGCCTTATCAGGCGTACAGGTTACAGTCACGTATTGAAAGCATTCTTATACTGTCAGGTGACAAAGTATTGATAAAGTATGAAACAACCTATGGATGATGATGTAGCTGTAATGATCATGGTAGAGTGTCATAGTGAATGAAGGCGGGTGGTGACTCACATACGAACACCGAAGAGTTTCCACGAGCCCTTGTCCATTAGCTGGCGGTAAGCTCCAAGTTCAGGTGGAACAACAGTTTTAGCTTGCTGTGCCCGGACCTTGGGCCGGTCAGCTACAGTCTCCTCCGTAGGAATTTGCTTGTAGATTCTCATGTATCCATTTACTGGGGGAGTGATCCTAGAGCCCACTTGTTGTACATTGAGCTGAATGCAAGCGTACGATGGCCCACTCCACCGAGGATCGTCTTGTTCGCTGCCCTGAAACTCATGCTCCTCCTTCTGGCTCAGCACGCGCCATCGCTTTTCGAGTTCAATGACGACGCCTGGGCTGACTTCTTCCTGTCCAAACCAGCGAGGTGTCATGATGGCTTCAAATTAAGGGACTTATTCTAAGAATAAAAAAGGGATGATAGAGGTATATTCACCGCTGTGATAATAACAGGCGGGGCTCTAGAGTTTATAGTCGTCCTTGTTACATTATACGTTGCCGCTTGAATGCCGATGTAAAATAATGCTTCTTTGAGGATAGGTCAAGCTTCACTACCAACAATTGACAAGTATTGATTGACTGTCTGGTTCTGCTGGCAGGTGAGTGGTCCTTCCTTGTATGTGCTGAGAAAACCAGCCTGCAATTCCGGGTCCGTCATGTATGCTGCGAGATGACCTATACTCATGTTAAGCTGCACTACCTGTATTGACATATGAATAGTAACCACCCATCTCAATTATGTAAAGGCATATCGCCTCTTAACGGAGATTACAATATAGTCGTCGGTTGATGTTGAGGCAGTCATCCATGTAGGCTTGGTCACGTGATTAGCGCTCGGGCCGCCACAACAAGCATCTCATCGCGTTCGTGATCTTTACCTTCTAAGGTAGGTAGTAGATGTGGTATGAGCAGGGGCCGGTGCGGATGAGGCCTGGTTGGTGTGGCGGTATCGCCTTCCTTATTATCAGGCCTGTCCTAAAAATGGATGCCCTGGAGTAGATTATTGCGCCCATAAAAAGAGTTGCATTCGTAACCTTCATACTGCGATGCTGGTCCCTAATATTCTAATTCTGTACAGCGTTGCCTGATGACTTTATACGACTGAACTACCTGTAGGCTTTGTCAGGGGCATGGCATGGCGAGTTACGGACCATGGTCAACACCATGGTTTGTCATATTTTAACGTTTTGTACATAGACTGATCTCGAGCGGCCTAGAGAATAAATAACCTGCAGATCGAGGCCACTAGTCGAGCCCCGTTATGCTACTACTACTTATCCTATCATCTTTCTCATCGGAAACGTCATTTGGAACAATTATCTACACGTGTATCGCAAAGCACCTTGAGTTTCACTCTACGAAGGCATCCGCGTAGAATAGGTTGAATTTGGCTGTCATCATGTATCAACCAGGCCTTCAATATTGAATTGAGAAGATAGGTGTGCTCTAATGAAGATGATGGAATAAGAAATATTCAATGAAAATACATGGAGATGAAGTGAATACTTTTCCAGTGAAGCTATCCATTAGAATGAATAGTTACATATGAATAGCACTGTCTATATAAAATCACGGGCAAATGATTCTTCTCCTTGCAGACCTTTGATCATTTCTTTTGTTCCAATAGCTACTGCGCCTCGTGCTTCCGTAAGCTAAGTCTCTCGAACTCAGAACCGAAACGGAGATTTCCTCAGTCGAGGAAGAACGACACGATGACCAATAACATGCTGCCACGCGGCCATCTTGAGCGAATTTGGGCGTCTGTACCTCACCTACGCAACGGAGAGAAGTACCGCACGTTGAAACCCGGCGGCTCACAATTCAGACTCCACAGAGACCAACTCCTGGATTGGGAGAACTTCACCCAAGAGGTAAAGGTTCTGTCTAATCCCTATTGTGGGAACCATTATCGCTTTATGCCCGCTGTACCAAACGAGACCTTTGGTGTGGCAAATGAGCTAGGGGTGTTGTACGAGGTGAAGACGCACTGGGCGTTCGAGCCAGGCAAGGAAGAAACTTGGAAGAGTTTCACAGCTCGAAAGTTTGGTGAGTCTCAGTTATTTTCAGCTGGGTGGTTTAAGTCAGTATTCTGACCCAGGTTCTTGAATGAATAGGCCAGCTCTCTCGATACATGGATGATCATCACTGCAGATATGACATCTATACGGTCTATGAGTATACATGGTTCTTGAAAAGGCTCGATAACACCCACCTTGCCGTGTCTCAGCCAATAAGTGCCAGCTCTGTCTCAACATCTAGTGCCCTATCGCTCCGGGAATGCCTACTGGCTCTTGTCATCGCGGGCGCTGATGAAGAAAGGAGCCACTACCCTGCCAGGTATGGCAAACGTTTAGTAAGTAGTAGTCTGTTTGTGCTTCGAATTTGTACTAACGGTATAACCAGACTACTCGAAGGCAGACCATGATCCGACGATCGAGAAGCCCACCTAATTTGAGAGGGAGGTCCTCCTAACTTCAATGTCATAGAACCTCGGAATGACAGAAATCAGCAAGAGCTGATCCCTCGAAATACCTTTCCTGAATATGAGGTTTTGCATTGTGAGCTAGTCTTTGGGTTGCCTGCGTTGAATTCAGAAGTTCATTGACTTAGTTGATCATTTCTGCTTTCATAAGATAATCTAGTAGGAGGAAGGGGGAGTACTTGGAATTAGATAGGCATGCATCTTAGCCAGAAACGATTTTCAGATTTCTCAGAGTTTACGTACTCCATCTTTTTATAGTAGCCATCAAATCTACCAACAAGTTGCATAGCAACGACAAGATCAGTAAGAGGCCGACCTTCATCCAATTGTGTGACCCTAGGCAGACTGGGGATGATAAGCGATACACTCTAATCCGTATTACCTAGCTATAGTCTGATTAACTGATTGAGACAATACCATGCTCGTCAGAAGGATAGGCCATATGTCACGTTTTCGGAGGTAGCAGTAACAGGTCGTTTTGCGTCCCCCTAAGGAGTAATGACCGAAGATGCACCATGTAATGTCAATGAGGCCTGTTTGAAGGAGAGCATGCTCCGAGAAACGATTCTGTGGCAGAGCCTTGGTGGTGGTAAGTCTCGATTTCAGATATGTTCAGGCAAGTTTGGTTGTTCTCCAGGCAAAGAGCCGTACCTGAATTATAACTGGGACGACTGGCTCGTGCGTAACGACCGACAGTGCTCCCCATATCTGGTTCAAGACCTCAATCTCCTGGACACTGGATATCTCATTGACTGTGTCTAGTGCGAAGAAAGGGCTTCTGTCGGGAGGAATGGCATTCAGGATGCCTTGCAGAACCGCACTTTTTCCGCGTTGGTAGTCAATGATAAAATCGTCCCTTTCACTGTTCATTAAATCCATAGCATAATCCATGCCTCTTCTAGCGATTGCAATAGGTGGATGAATATGGCTTTTTTTCAAAAAAAAACCCCCTTTGTTTTTATTTCCTGGCAATATGGTTAGTATCATGGCTTGTCGGGAAGTATATATGCGTTGCATGAAGGCTGGCAGAGCGCGAAATGAGTCAATTTGGGCAACAATGGCCAGCTTGATTGGGCGTATAGGTTACAGTCACGTAATGAAAGAATTCTCAAAATGTCAGCTGACATTATGAGAATCGAAATAAGTAATGGTAAATATGAAGCAACCTGTGGATAGTGACGTACCTATAATGACCTTGGTAGAGTGTCATAGTGAATGAAGGCGGGTGGTGACTCACATACGAACACCGAAGAGTTTCCACCCCGTCGCTCCCCCGTCTCCAACTTCCATCCTTCAATCCCACACCCCCGTCCCACACCTCCATGTGCCTAGGGCATAAATGCTTACCTTTCTCTTGAAACAAGTACCGTATCATACAGTGGTTCAACCATGTGGAGTTTCAGTTTCAGAGACCGAATTTTCGATATCGAGGGGGAAGATTTCAAAGTGGTGAGGCAGCTGACCGAGGATGACGATGCGGAAGTTGGTGAGCGCAAGGTTCTAGCAATAGCCACGCGACAGGACAAAAAGTACCTGCTCAAGATACGCTATCAACTTGACCCGGAAGACTGTGACATAGAAGATCTGGACAAGACCTTGAAGGTTGCTGAACAGCACTACTGCCATGAAGTAGAGGCTATAGACCTTCTGTCTACACACGGATATGGGCCGAAGTATCATAATCACGAGACCCACGAACAGCCTCATTGGATGCCTTTTCCTGGAGGGTATCTTGAGTTCATCGTTATGGAGTTTCCTCCTGGGAAGAACGTTGATGATATCCTAGAGGAGCTTACCGATACCCAGCGCAGGAGTATCAGAAAGCAACTAGCGCATTTATTGGAGTAAGTTAATTTCGCATCCTGCTACAGAAAAGAAAGGGCATTCTCCATCCTGAACTAACGCATACTGACTATCTGGCAGGCTCATGCGCCAGAATGACTACAAACTGACTGAGCAACACCCAAGCTACCTTCATTACGATGCTCGGGCAGACAGGCTCTATTTAGTGGATCTTGCGGGCCTTGGATATACCAACTCAGCCACATCCTATCCGATCGATGAGGAGAGTCCGTATGTGACAGCATTCAACATCTGGCGGAAGGAGTACTCGAAGCCTAAGCGAACCCCGAAGTCCGGCGACATTCCATTCTCCCATCAGCCTATTAAGAAGGAGAACCAGCCCCCAAGGAAGACTTGATTTAGCATTGCTGCATTGAAAACAACTAGAGTCTACGGACCTCAGTCTGACTAGTTTAAACATTGCCTTCTTTTTGCACGGGATGCCTGTCATAATATTAGGCGAAGGAATCCCTCAGCGTCGCTATATTAGCAGGTGATACTAGCCAGGTCTATCAAGTTTACGCAGGATGCAATGGCTCTATGTACAAGTTATTCGTATCTGAATCTCAAGTTTGGATGCCATTTTATATTGGTATTACTAAGATCAATTACTGTTATCCAAAAATAAATTGCCATTAGATACCTCAATACTGGGTCTTATCTGCCACATAGAATTTATGCATTTAGCCAGACAGATATTGTCATTCTGCTCAAGGCAGGATATATTTTCATTCCTACACATTCCCCTTTTATTCCCAACAGCTTTCAGGAGACTGCGAAGAGCCTTGCCACGCCACCGTTCTCCGTCCGACATCAAGGCTCACTGGACATTGGTGCCACGCCGAAACGGACAAAGTGGTTGGTGTTGGCTTCCTCAGTAATCCTGTGAAGCTGGCACTTTATTTGATATTAGCTCGCAAGGCTCCAGAGAGTTGAAGTCTTATGGCAATTCAGAGAAAATATGAGACCTCGCATCAGCGGAATATATATCAATCTGTCCATGCTTTCCTTGAACATCAATAGTCAAAAAGTGGATACTACAATACCAGATCAGAGATAATGCCTCAATCAATCTACACAACCTAGAAGAGCGACCTAAAGTACTCAGCTAAGTGGAACTACTATTACACACCTGGAATAATCACAGTTCCAGCGTCGGACATGAGCGAAAACCGACTAAATTGTCAGAAGCCACTCGTTATCTATCTAGAGAATGCGCTGCCCAGTTCTCTATTCCGAACTCTTTACGATTTTGTTGGCTTAAGGCCCCTCAAGGCGTGGAGGAAAATGAACATAGATACGACGTGGAATAGTATTAAGCCAATTTTGGAAGGACCCTGATTTTCCACGTTCAGCCACGGCTTGGATTCAAGGAAGCGGCTCGGCCCGTGGCGGGTCTACAGATGGGGCGGCCCTGGGATCTGCGACTGTGTTTCCGGTTTTGTTTTCATAGTGCGGAGGAAGCAGTCAATCATTTGGTTAATTCATTTAAATCCTATACTATACTAAGAGCAGTCAAACTTATGGGTAGACAAACCCTTTTTCAAATGTGGACGCCAGGGCGTAATCAAACACCAATGCAGACATAGTATCCCAACCACAAATTATCGCATGCTGCATTAAGCTCCGTGTTCCACTCGCGCAGTTGCGCAAGTGTGATTCCCGCTTCATTAGAGATGGACCAACAGTTCTCTCCATCCTTGATCAGATGAAAGGATCTGCAGTTCTCGACTATGCCCGGCAGCTGAGGCGTCGGGCTTGAGGGGTCGTTCGTGGGGTCTGGGGCTGCCGTCGTTGTGGTGGTTGTACCGGGGATGTGTACGCAGACGTAGTAGTCAAGCCAAAGGTTCGAGCAGTCTGGGTTTTAAGATAGAATTTGTTAGATTACTGCAATGTGAGCGTAGAACGAATGTGAGAGGCATGAATACCATCGTTGACCTTGGTATTCCCGCTCTTGAACTGGGCCATGGAAATGCCATAGGATTTAGAGATAGTTTCGCAATTGTCGCCAGATGCTACCTTATAATACTCGTCGCAGTTGTTGACAATGCCGGGCATTTGGGGAGTCGGACTGAAACCCGGGTCTTCGGTCGGCTCGGGCGTTTCAGGAGTGGTTGTGGTAGATCCCGGGACGTGTATACAGATATAGTAGTCTAACCAGAGGTTTGAACAGCCTAATTAGATGAGTTGCATGTCAGTAACAAAATATCACAGTCCCTCCCGTCGTCAATAAAAAGAATGGGCGGGTAGGGCTTTCTTACTATCATTAATCTCACTGTTCCAACTCAACAACTGAGCCGTGGTAATACCATATGTCTCGGCGATAGTGTCACAATGATCGCCAGAAGCGACCTTGTAGAACCCATCGCAGTTATCGACAATGCCTGGCATAGTAGGCGAACTGGTAGGCACAGCTGCGGTGGTGGTTGTGATGGTGCTGGGAGTTGGGACTGAAAACTTAGACGTCGTAGTTGAAGATATCGTTGTCGTAGACATGGTGCTTGGTGCATCGTCACTGACGGTTCCGATGACACAGTACGACTTGGTCGTATCAAGATCTGGGCAGGTAATACCAGGGTTTAGCTGCTGAAGGCCCTCAACAGATAGCCCCCAAACATCAGCAAAGCTATCGCAGGTATCACCTTTGCTAGCATCCGTGGTAAAGGAGCACTCAATTGTACGTTTGGACAGCGCACAGGCTACGCCTTGAGCAAGTCCGGCGACAGTGAGGTACTTGAGTTGCATTTCTCTTCGTATGAATACGGCGTCTTTGGGCTAGTTTTAGGGCGATATGAGCCTCCTATATAGGGTTGTTGAAGAGAATGAGGTAATGATCAGCAACATCTGAAGGGTATACACTGGCTTATATACTCATCTGGACACAACTAACCATTCCACTACCATTGGCTTGACTCCAGTCGACCTGTTCCACCACGTCGAATGTGTCATTTTTCATTGTCAATCAGCGAGCCGAAGACCGGGATTGTTAGACTGGGTCTTTATCATCTGTACCCTGTACTTGCGCTGTAGGCCGCAGACTACATGACTAAATGGACGGCTATCTGTCATGGTGGAGCGTCGGTGATGGTTCCTGCGCTAAATGGACTGGTGGGGGCAACGTCTACGAAACTAGCCATTAAATCAAGACATTCAGTTTATAACGGCTCAGTCAATGGTTGAGACCATAGTGCGCATGATCAGAATTTGATACGGGGATGACCTTGATCAAGAGCATGTAGGGTACATGTGATGTGTATGCTACATTAGCGTAGTAACCACTCCTTGGCTAGGGATCAGTTGTCCAATCGATATTATCGTGAGGCAGGAGGCGAAAATTCATAATGAACTAACCAAGCACCATTGTAAGCGAGATTAGCAATAGCGACCTTCCCAATGTGGTAAGGAAGGAGCGGAAGCAGCCGGCAAGGCTGGGATCATGGCTTTCCTTTAGCGCCTTGTCCACATTGGCTACGACTACCTTATAAGGCTAGACCAGTGCAAAAGACTAGCCAGGGACCATTTGGCGCACTTTATGGAAAACGAATGTAACGTTGCCCGCAGCGCCAAGGCTTGGCCCAGAAAACAGAGGCTTGAATGGTTCCTCGCTCCGCTCCGATGTTTCTTTAGATCGTCTTGGCGCGCCATGTCACCTTGACGGAGGCGATGACCTGACCCAAATCCAAGAACGGACCTGCGCTATCTCCTGTTAGCTCGGGCGGAGGAATCGCTCGTGCTCTTTCAAGACCTACAGTTAGTCTCGGGCGACAGGGGTCGGGAGATTACCTGCCAAGGACCCCTATTCCACTCCCTCCCCCGACACACATATTTTACAAATATTCTCAATATTCCCTGCCTCATTGCTACTAGTCACCGGAAGTCCGTAAGAGCTGGACGGTACTATTGAGCAAGGTCAACGTGTTTCTCCTGGTTCTAGCTTCGCTATTCCAGTCTCTCAACGTCCGCTTTTGGCTCGGCCCGTCAAATCCCTCAGCCATGCCTTTTCTCCAACTAAAATGGCTCATAGTACTCGGAGCCTTGATCACTTCCTCGCCTGCGGTCGAGTTTGACTTGGTGTTTCCTCGAAGCGATGCCTCATACTCACCAGCCGAGTCGTTCCCATTCGTCTTTGCTGTGCAGAACACGGAAAGGGCAGAGCTTCTCAACCTCCAGTTATCCTACTACATTTACAAAAGCAATGACGGGCTGAATTTTGATAACCAATTATCTATGGTCCATGATTTCTCGTGGACAAATTGGTCGGGCAGCGCAGACCCTTACTTCGTCTACGACTACTTCGACAACAGCTTTAACACATCCGGTCGTTGGTTGGTTCAATGGAAGCTGAGCTGGGAAAGCTGCAATGTGGAAGCGCTGACCCACCGCCATGATAGTGATGGAGTCTCTGAACACTACTACCATTGGACGGCGGGCTTCTATATCAACAATTCCAGTCTCAAGGAGGTGGACCTTGTCGCAGCTACCGCAAATAAAAGCTGCCCCGGAAGCCCCAACGGAATCGTCATCAATGTGACCGATACAGTCATGAGTTCTCCTTCGTGGCTCAACTGGGCACACCGGGACACATGTGTCGTTACTGAAAACACAACTGCCAGTCCTACAACCTCTACCCCGGACCCATGTCGCATTGCGATAGACGAGGATACGGCCGAGAGCATGGCTGCCGCTCAGCAACAGCGCTTCTGCTACCTTCCGGTTCCCCCTGATAACTGTCCTAAAGAGGAGAATGGGGCTACACAATCGGCTATACTCGGTGTATGTGGAATGCTAACTGTAATTGGAGCTTTGGGCCTTGCCATCTTGTAAATAGATATTTTGCTGATGTGTAGCTCGGGCCAACATGGATAAACTTTCTTCGTGCTTACGCCTATCGTCTTTCAAAAGCACCAAGGAATCGATAGTCAGCAGCATATCTTTGGTGAAAATTACATGATTCTCTTGAAACTCACCGCAACTATTCAATAACGATAGAACATAAAGGGTATCTTCTTAACACAATGTGCGATATCCAACCTACGTAAATCACAAGTGATCTCTCTAAGGCTACTTTCACTAAACGGTTTAACACTAGCTTATACTACTGTCTTGGCCTCCACCACACACCCACTACCTGCAAATCACATTCATTTTGAGTCCTACCTCCGCTACCTGGCCTTAGTGTGGGCTGATATCACGGAGGCCGGTGCGCACCGATCATTCCCATCTTTTCCACGCCGGACCGTGCCTACAAATATAATGCAACTTTTAGAGTTTACGGTCAAGATAAGTACCCACAGCTTACAGAACATAGGAGATTTGACGGTAGAGGGGGAAATATCAGACCCTTTCATGCCTGCCAAGTCCTCTCAAGTGGGTTGGAACACTACTGGACCTCCTTTCATCGATAAACGTCAATCTTGGGAGTTTCACTATAGCGAGACACAGAACAGATCCTTCATCAACTTTGATCCATACACATCTATTCTCCTCTCTCTCACAAGGGTAGTCTCCTTCGCGATTCTGACTGCTTTCCAGCTCGATATATTCTACCCGCCCTTTTCCCTCTCTCCGGTCTATCTAAGGATCGCCCTACCCTGCGCTAATATCGGATTAGGAAGTTCGCCCTCCACAGTTGTGGGGAATTTCCCGCGCTACTGCCACCCGTCATACCGCCGCTCTACCCCCAACAATTTCGACTTACGAGCTGACAGAGAAATTGCGCCAAGGATAACTAAGGTGTCGGTTCGCGAGAAGCCACCACTCATATACAATTGCAAGATAGATACTTACCCAATCAGCAATCATGGTATGTCTTAGATTGCTATGTGTCCCTGCCGCAAGATGAACACCGTGGGGGGTCGCGTGCAACGCCCGGTCGAGAATGATCGTGAAATCCGCTTTCGGAGCTTTGGAAGCAAGAGACTTGCATGTGCTCGATGTTGGAATCCTGGTTATTGTTTCTTATATAAATGGTATATACTTTTCCCATTGTCAGTATCCTTTCTCCTTCCCATGATTCTACATCTACCTCAGTCACGCTCTTTCCTTCCGGCACAGCCCACACAGTCTTTCCTTAAATTCTCTTTTCATTCACACACGGTCTTTGCCTTGAGACATCTCCTTTTCTTTTCCTATCTATTCCTCTTTTTCCTTACTTTTTTTTCTTTTTTTTTTTTTTTTTTTTCCCTTTCATCAAGGTTCTCTCTATCTTTATTCCTTTTCCATGGTGGCCCTCACTTGGCTCGGTGTGGCAACAGCCTTCGTGCTGACCGCATGGCCACCTTCAGCTATCGCAAGCCCTGGCTTCCGTAGCTTTTCCAGCCAGAGCTACAATAGCGGTGCTTCCGCTTGTCCTGAGCGCTGCCGTGATGCTGGGCCCAATACGGGGAACTGGTCGGTGTACTCGGGCTTCAAGCAGATCCGGAAGTGCAAGGAAACGATCTTCTATGACTTCTCCCTGTTTGACGATGTTGATGATTGGGAGAGAACCCACCGCATTCAGGCCTGCTCTTCATACGGGCCGGACTTTGCCACTTTTCCAGCGACTACAACTCATGTTACTTCTAGCAAGCCCGTTGATGTTCAGTTTGAACTTGGGTGGTGGCAGGAGGGTTTCGGTCTGGCGGGTGCTGGGCTGCGGTCAATTGTTAGGCAGATGCGCCACTATGCCGATGGAGAGCATGGCAAGTCTGATAGGCCATTTATCATATACGGTCAGTCTGGTCAAGCTACAATCGGGTTGTATATTGGCCAGGGTCTGCTGAAACAAGGGCTCGGCGAGTCTGCGCTCAAGCTCTTCCAGGATAATCTTGGCAATCTTGCTATCTCCACCCCTAGCTTAGCTATGCAGCTCTGTGAGGAAGGCTATGATAGCACACATGTATTCGGTATTATGGCGACGAGCAATGGAACCTTTGCTCCCATACAAAGTGCAATCAAGTCTTGGGCTAATGCGACGTGCTTATCGTTCCCCGGATCTGTCAAGCTTGCGGGCTCGGTGAAATTCACTACGCCGCTCCTGAATGACAACCACACTACCGCGGCCAATGCCACTGACTTATGGCGCAATCTGGTTCGGAGGATAATTACAAGGGGGAGTGGCGAGTGTACAACTGTACAGGTTGACGCTGGGAACAGCTGCGCAGATCTGGCAGTGAAATGCGGCATTTCGGGTGCTGACTTCACGAAGTACAACCCCGGCAATGATTTCTGCTCCACGTTGAAGCCTAAGCAGCATGTTTGCTGCTCTGATGGAAATCTTCCTGATTTTCGTCCCCAGCCCAACGAAGACGGCTCATGTAGGGCATACCAGGTCCAGGCCGATGACAATTGCGACAGCCTCGCTGCGGAATACAGTTTGAGCAGCGATGATCTTGAGAATCTTAACAAGGACACCTGGGGTTGGAATGGCTGCAAGCTTCTGTTCAAAGATACGGTTATGTGTTTGAGTGAAGGAACTCCGCCCTTCCCCGCAGAGATCTCCAACGCTCAGTGTGGTCCCCAAAAGCCAGGCACAATCCCGCCAACGAATGGCTCGAATATTGCCGATCTCAACCCTTGTCCGCTCAACGCATGCTGTAATATATGGGGCCAATGCGGCATAACTGCGGACTTCTGCGTTGATACAAACACTGGGGCCCCGGGAACGGCTGAGCCAGGAACCTACGGCTGTATATCGAATTGTGGGATGGATGTTGTGAAAGGATCTGGGTCTGGGGATGTCAAAATCGCCTACTATGAAGGCTACTGCCTCAGCAGGAAGTGCCTCTTTCAGGATGCTTCGCAGATTGATACCTCGCAATACACGCACCTTCATTTCGGCTTCGGAACACTGACCGACTCTTGGGAGGTTGAGACAGGGGATACACTGTCCACCTACAATTTTGGCGAGTTCAAGAGAATCTCAGGAGCTAAGAGAATTCTTTCGATTGGTGGGTGGGACTTCTCAACCATGCCTGAAACATACAAGATTTTCCGTAATGGTGTCAAACCGGCGAACAGGCTAACGATGGCGACGAATATTGCCAACTTTATCAAGGACAATGACCTTGATGGTGTCGATATCGACTGGGAATATCCAGGGGCGCCTGACCTCCCTGAAAATGACCCTGGGACGGAGGAAGACGGTCCCAACTACCTGGCATTCCTTGTCGTTCTCAAAAATCTCTTGCCGGGAAAGTCTGTCTCCATTGCCGCACCGGCATCCTACTGGTACCTGAAGCAGTTCCCCATAAAGGAGATGGCTAGGATCGTCGACTACATTGTCTATATGACCTATGACCTTCACGGCCAGTGGGATGCGCATAACAGCAACTCACAGGAAGGCTGTGATACGGGTAATTGTCTGCGCAGCCAGGTGAATTTGACAGAAACTAAACAGTCTTTGGCAATGATTACCAAGGCAGGTGTCCCCGGCGCAAAGGTTATTGTTGGTGTGACAAGCTACGGTCGTTCTTTCAAGATGGCAGACCCAAATTGCTGGGGGCCGGACTGCCTTTACACTGGCGACCGCTTGAATTCTGACGCGAAGAAGGGCGAATGTACTAATACAGCAGGTTACCTTGCTGGCGCGGAAATTGATAATATCATAAAAGATTCCTCTCGGGTCGTCAAAAGCTATGTCGACACGACCAGCAATAGCGACATTCTCATTTACGATAAGGATGAATGGGTCGGCTACATGAGCACCGCCACAAAAAGGGCCCGCACCACCCTGTATAGCGCTTGGGGCTTGGGTGGAACCTCTGACTGGGCCAGCGACCTGCAAACCTATCATGATGTTCCCAAGCCGGCGACAAGCTGGGCCAACTTCATCCAGCTTGCCAAAGCAGGGGAGGACCCTAAGACTGACCAAACGCGTACCGGAAACTGGACCTCGTATAACTGCAGTAACGATAATGTTGCAAATCTATTCGACTTCACACCCTCAGAGCGGTGGAAGAACATGGACACAGATACAGCGTGGCGTGACATTATTCGAATCTGGAAGGACACCGATCGCCCACGCCATATGACTTTCATGGAATCTGTTGAGAGTACCACCTATTTCAAGGCTCAGGCCTGCGATAGTATAAAGCCCTCGAGCTGCAATTCCATTGGCTGCGAAGACGCTGCAAATGGAGACCACTCTGGCCCCGCAGCCTTTCTCATCCTGTACTCAATGGCCCAAATTCACGATATGTACACGGAATACTACACTGGCTTATTCCACTCTCTTGCCCTTGTCGGTACAGCACTGGATGATATGGAAAACAAATTTGCGCCTATCCCACCAGAAGATGATAACACCTGGCTCAATATCCTTATTGACATGATCACTCTTGGCGCCCTGGGCACTGCAGGGCCGCTGTTCAACACAATGCTGAAGGACCACGCTTGGTTTTCTGGCAGCGCCCTGGACAATACAAAGGACACAACCATGACCCTCCTTGGACAAGGTACAACTACCGCCAAGGATGTACTACCTCCGGCTAGTAAGCCCAAATGGTCGCCGGAGGGACAAGATGAATTTTCTGCCTATCTAGGGCAAGTGGTGTGGGGCTGGTCTAATGTCACATCGCTAGCGTTGGCTGACCTCTTCGGTGGAAACGACACGAACATTGATACCCTCTGGGAACTCATATCAGATGGCAAGCTCATCGAGGGTAAGAGGGATACTGACCCCCCTGATACTGGAAATACCCAAAATGAGCTGCTTGCCAATATTAATAAATGCGTCGTTGGCTTTGCATTGCCCGCATTGTGGCGCCAAGCTGGATCTTATACTTTTATCATTGATTCAGGTCAGTCTTGCGACGATGACCCGGACATCAGCGAGTACTTGGACGACGACACCATTGATGCCACGGCTGTCTGCGTTGACAATCGGCAATACTACCTCGCATATCCGGATGGCGATGCGACTGACTGTACTTGCAGAATCATCAACGACTCCGGCCCCTGTCAAACGGTCTGCAAAGACAGCAAATTCTCTGCTCCCAAAGGAATCGAATACATCTCCGGCGACAATAGCTACTACGGCATCACGACCAACGAGCTAGTCAAGGGCTCTGTCCGGACCTGGATAGCTAACGGGAGGGAGAACGGCGCTAACATAGCAGATCCAACGAACCACGGCACCATGTCCGATCTCATAGACGTGGATGTTACAACGCCCGGCTTCATGCGGATTCCTGTTTGTAGCCCCGCCCGCGCCTTTCAATCCTGGGACACGGCCGACAAGGACTCAAGCCCGAACTGGCCCTGCGATATCCCGCCTGGTAAAGATGAGTGCGGTGAGTCAACCTTTGTGGACCAAACTAGCGATGCATCACCAAAGCTAGAAGACTGCCGCCAGATTATCAAGAACATTGAGGGCGATGCATCCACTAGCTGGACGACCCAGGTTGTCGGCCATAACCAGCGCGAGATTGCCAGTCACGCATCCTGTCACTTTGGCGTTGAGGCTACTAAAACCAACGGAAATGTCAATTTCAAGGTCGGCGGGCAGGATGTCATTGATATTATCAACGATGCTATCGACAAATTTGCTAGGGATGGGCTGATCGGCGCAAAGGGAAACATGGATTGCAATGGTAATGTAAAGAGTGAGCCGGTGCTGTGGGGGATATACTAGGAATGTGTAGGCGCTATACTGCTGGCCGAATATGACAGGTCGGCTTATCTTGCGAAGGAGATGGACGTGTTTGTTTGACTAGAATGTGATGTTATATACTATTTGTGGAGGCATTCATGTAGGCTTAGTAACGTGCTTGGCGCGCAGGCCGCCCACGCAAAGCATCATTTCGCGTTGTTTCGCTGCGCGCACCTAGATAGCCAATACAACCACTCTTTTGCTGCATCTTCGTGTTCGTTTTGTCTGCATTTTTGCTGCTCTGTTGCTTTACACGTAAAATTGCGCCTCAACTCTAGCTATAGTAGATGGTACTACACACGGAGTGAAATGCCCAGAACCTTCCGTAACGCAATCACGCTTGAAGTACTGCCACCCCCTTGAGCCCAGAAGGGAGCTCTACATACTTCAGAGGCACTGGCACTAGCAGCTCTCTCGTACCTCTCGCACTCTCATGGAACAACAATTTCACCCGAATTTTCACTGCGTCTTTGCCGGAAACGCTAGGGAGTAGACACGCTTCGTCTTTGTAGCAGCACGAATCCAAGCTGATAGGTTTGTGCGCAATTGTAGTGTTTTTGGAGAACAGATGGTGGTGTGGTCCTCTACCGCTTATATATATATACTTCCGCAGGTCAGCGTATTGATTTACAAAATGTTGTTAATTTAAGCTAGAGGTTGCGTGCGGGCGCATTTGTATACGCTAGTGTTACATTACGCCCCACGGGCGTTCAACTTTCAGTGTGGGGCCGGTCAGAAGTCAATCCCGTTGTCATGCATGACCGCCTAAGATGAGATGGGTCTGAGACCCACTGATCTGCAGGGTCTGCTGTGCATACTAATGCCGGGGATTTTATACCCATGACTAAGCATTGGGTTATGCTGACTAGTGCTTACGCTAAGTTATCGAGGTCACGGTATCGCAATGAAAGGTATATCCATACTGGAGGCCCAGGCGAGTGGCTAACTATAGTACTACTGATTCTTATTATCCTGAGCACAGACTCACTGCACACTAGTAAAATCACTCCATTCCAATGGCTTTTGTTGCTCAGGCGAACCGTGGGTCCTTCTTTTCTGGATTTCTTTTCATGTTTTCTCCCTTTCCTTTCCTTTTTTGTCATCATATGCGTCCAATAACATAGTTGACTAATTATTTATGCATGAGAGTGAGTATCTGCCCCCTTAAATCTGCCCAGCGGGTCATATCTTCTTCTCAAATTTTGCAACTGAGCGAAATGAGGACCCCAAATCTAGTTCCCGAATGAGCAGCGGGTCAGATGATGATTGTGTCTTCAGACTTACTTTCTTCGCGTCATAGAACTTTTCGAAACCATTAGGAAGGTAATTCAGATCTGCCTTTTCTCCCAAGACCCTGGACCCTGCCTTGATAGCAAGATCTCGTACCAGATCTTCGTGGTCACGTCCGGCATCAGCCGGACATCCGGGACCCATAAGCAAGATGTGCTTGACCCCTTGAGGTCGTGGCCAGGCGCAGCTGGTTACTCCTCCCTCAGGGTCGCGCTGCGGCATTCAGTATGTAAGAATGAAGTATTTTCCTGCGGGTTTATCGGTTCCTGCGACTTACCGAACACAGCAGCTCAAAGATCAAATAGGTGCAGTCACTGAGCGATTCGTCCAGTTTTCCGATATCTTCAGACCACTGAACAGCATTGATGATGGTGTCCTTTGAAAGTTCTCGTAGAAGCAACGGTGACCAGAACTGCTTCATGGTGCCTTTGGCAATATGCACCTTATCTTGTCTAATGATGAGCATACATTTACCAGCACTTGCAAGCTTGTGGCCTTACCCTGTAAATCTGCAACACCAGCAAACGTAGTGACCTTAGTTTGGTCAATAGCTCCGGGGATGCTTAGTGCCCACTGGAAGTTGACCCGACCGTGCGCTTCTCCGCAGGCGTCAAAAGCATGAAGTACCAACATATCTGAGTCCGCCCCGATGGACTTTAACAGCCGCTTCTTCACGACGTACAGAAACATGGAGATCTTTGGGTTAAGAGGTCGAGAAACAAACTTTGCAATTTCGTCTGCTGTCACCTCGAGCTGCTCTCGAGGTATCAGAATCGGGCCAGCCCAAATATTCTGCGGATAAGGGAAAACTCGCAGCACAACCTCAACGACGACTAAAGTTTGCGCGTTAGTAACTATTCATTCCAAATTTAGCACGTTTCGTATTGCCTACCGCCAAAGCCACCTCCGCCGCCACGTAATGCCCACAGAAGATCTGGCTCCGAGGATGCCCAAACAACCGAGCCATCATACTTCACGACTCTCGCATCCAGCATATTCGCTGGGTCTGAGATACACCCGTACTCTCGGGAAAGCCATGAGAAGCCACCGCTGATGATAGTGCCTGCAACGCCCACACAAGGGGTGCGGGCTCCCACAACTTTATTCATCTTGTGTCAGTCTCCGCCCACAAAATACGTGATCGGGAAGATCGAAGGAGGTGTCCTTACTTCCATATTCCGGTGCGACTTCGCTCAGCTTCCGATAGACATCTGACCATGTCTGTCCAGCTCCGACCGTAGCGAGTTCCGAATTTCTATCAAGGTGAAAGCCATCGAACGCCGACATATTCACCAACACATCTCTTGCGGATGCGGACATGAATCCATGGCCGTATATAGCAAAGTCGAGATTTGTGGAATAAAGGTAGGCGATTACCTTGCTCAAAGAGTTGACAGATGTGGGACGAAGGACAATGCGAGGGTTCAGTTGTTTTTGGGCAGCCCAGGTCTCAACTTTCGATTGGTAATCTGGGGAAGTAGGACAAATTAGTTCACCCGGACGCAGGAATGATTCCAGCATCTTGAGATGATCCTCCACGGTGCATGGTTCGGCCATATTGAGAGTGTTTTGGGTTTCAATCAATTGGTGAATCGTTGAATTTCTGCGAAATGAATCTTTGTAGTATGCAATATTGACCCCGCTGTGGCGGTTATATATCTGTGGTAAGTCTGCGGCCGAAAGAACATTGTTCCTTTAATTTGCGTCATACTAGAGCGCTGGAGATCTGCATTCACCTTCTGGACCGGCCTATTCTTCTCGTATGATTCTACATTTCAGGTCTTGCAATAACAGGCTCATTCGGCCAGACCGCCGTCGTTCGACATTGTTATTGGACACCTGTGAGGGGAAGACCGACTCCATCGGGAAAGTGGGCCCGCGGATCAATCACCAATTACCCTTCCAGTTCGGAAGGCCGGACCGTTGGCGACGGAGAAGATCTCTCAAGGAGAGGGGGCAAAACACTTGGCTGTACGAACATACTTATTTCCTTAAAATCTGCGATATAGTTTAATGCCTTGCACTTCTTGCAAATACGATTCACCGATCGAACGTCTTACAGAAGCTACCTCCCAAGATGTCGAACTTTCTCGTTACTGGCAGTTCCCGCGGCTTAGGCTTAGAGTTAGTGAGGCAGCTAGCTGCCCGCGCCTGCCTCGAAGGAGGATTGGTTATTGCAACGGCGCGCAAATGCAGCCCGAAGCTTACGGAACTTATCGCTCAGTCCAATGGATGCATTGTCTTCGTCGCTTTGGATATCTCCGAGGAGTCAAGAATCGCTGACTCGGCCGAGCAAGTCAAATCAGCTTTAAACGAGCAAAGTCTGGACGTGTTGATCAATTGCGCTGGAGTTCATGGTGAGACACATGGAAAACTAGCTTCAATGTAAGTAGTCTAGCAGATTAATGTTTTTGAGAGCACCACCGAGACTGACCTAAAAACCAATAGGTCCGACCTCGACTACCAGTTGTCAGTGAATGTAACTGGAACTCATAACGTCCTTCGCCACTATCTTCCCTTGATGCAGAACAGCAAGGTCAAGAAGATCATCAATATGTAAGCATCAGATGCAATGAGATAGGAATATTTTCGACCAGGTACTTAACAGCTTCTAAACCACAGTTCGAGTGCATATGGCTCGATTACCAGTGCGCGCGAAGTATCGTACGCTCCTTGCCCGGCATACAAGATCAGCAAAGCAGCACTAAACGCCTTAACGGTCCAGTATGCGCTGTCATATCAAGAAGAAGGATTTATTTTCCTCGCAGTCAGCCCCGGAGTAAGTTATCACTTCAAGATCTACTTAAAGTTAATATGAAGTGAAGCTAATGACACTTATTAGTGGCTCCAAAGTGACATGGGTGGGAAGAATGCCGACCTGACCGTGCCTCAAGGTGCAGAAGCGGTCTTGAACATTGCAATGTCCGTAGACCGTGTGGACAATGGCCGGTTTAAGAATATTCATGTTCCAGGGTGGGAAGCCTATAAAGGCCAGGACGTCCCCTGGTAGTCCGGGAGCGCAGATCATATTTCCCTATGTACTATTAGCCCTATATGTCCAGATAGAATAGACCAGAGATCAGATTATTGCGCAACTACACAGTATGTAATAAAACGTGGCATTGAAACATCTTGTTACCATGTTGGAAGAAGTAAAAGCACAAAACAGCTTTTAAATCTCCTCAGCATTATGTACTTGTTAGTAGTTGGCGTGAAAACTGTAAACTCTCTTGATCTAGTACCACGGAGTATGTGGCTAGGAGTTGCCTTTTCGGTGGTTGCGATTGGAATGCTCAGTCAGCAAGCCAGCCGGGTGGTTGATTTTCCCTTCCCTTCCCGCTCCGCACGCTCGACGCTCAGCATACCTTGCAACTATAGCTTCCTGTCAAGATATTTGCAGTCGATCGTGAAAACATCGGGACTTCCGGTAAAGCTTGCTGCCAATGCCGGAAGATCTCACAGTCACGGGGGATATTCTGCCCGCGGTATGTTCTGCTCATCCCCATAGGCCGGAATTCTCAGGGAAAGCTGTAGACGCTAATCAAAGCAAACAGTGTGACCTATGTCATGCGAAGAAGGTTGCAATACCATAAATACCAAGCTTAAGCCACATATTGAATCTGACAACAATACAATGTAATAGATAAAGTGTGATCGTCGAGCGCACTGTGCCAATTGCGCAGATGCCGGTGTGGAATGCGAACGCCGGCGGCGCGGACGGCCAGCTAAGAAGAGAAACCAAAGGTTTGCTGTCATCCATGTCATGCTGACGAGTAATCTATACATATGAAGTAACTGATAATTAACGGCAGCACCCTAAGGCCCCAGGAAAATATAGTAACGTTTGAAAAACAGCCGTCACAGACACAAAGGTAAAGTGCCAGAGCTTGTCGGAGTCGTCTTTCTGGGTTCGGTGCGCTGAACAACTACAGAAGCAACCGGCAATCAGGCCGTAGGGCAGCGGAAAGAAATGTCAATAGAAGTACCGCTATAGAGCACAGCCAGCCTAACGACCAAGCTCTGGACTCAAGGGAGCGATCCTTAACCACGCCTACGCACTCGACACCCAGCGTCGAGGGCCCCAATTATCATGCAATACAGGCAAAAAACATAATCCAACTAGAATTAAATGACTCAAGGCATGTCAACCGCGGGAGACAATCCATACTTCGCTCTGCTCTCCAACTCGTGAATCAAATTGCAGAGAGTGAGCCTCAACATTCGGACGAAATCATAGAAGAGTTTCATCCTAACGATCCCGCCTTTTCGATTCCGGATGCACCCCCTCGAGAGCTGTTGTTTATGCTCCTACAAGGTATGAGATTCTTGCATTGTTATGTATTGGTCATGGTTGATGAAATTAGGGCCGCCGGAATCGATGTGCATTCAGTGGCCGGATCACATCTCGCGCAAAACATATGAAGAAATGGCTACAGCCTTGTTACGAAGTGAACCTCGGCTACAAGGTCAACTTTTCCATCAATATAGCATTTGCATATATGTGAAAGCAATATTTCATATATATCAGGTGTCACGAACCGTGCGCAGCCCGCTCCTGAAAACACAGCTGTCCCAATCTAGGTCGACTTACATCGCAGCCACAATTCGGAGCATTGAGAACCTGAGCATACTCAAACAGCCAGACATCTCGTCCATACAAGCTCTACTCTCAAGTGTAAGTCCCTGAGTTGCAGACATCTCTGGCGAAGACTGCCTTATTGACATCGTGTCTGTAGGCATTGCTTATGCAGCACCTGGGGAGGCTGAACCAATGTTGGGTCCTTACCTCTTATGCTGCTCGACAGATTGCATCCCTTAACTACCACAAGGTCCGCAGGGTACCAGCGCGCTCAGACTCGGAGTTAGAGGTATATAGTGCGGTATACTGGTGCTACTATCTTGATCGGACGTTAAGTTCACTTCTCAGTCGCCCTACGTCATTGCCTGATCTCGAGGTATCCCCGACGGATCTCATTGTCTTAGACCCATGTTCGCCATATGATACGCTTTTGCGTGTCCTGCTTGACCTCGCACAGGTTCAGGGAAGATTACATGCAGTGTCTTCTGACGCAAAGAATGCTTCGAATAGTCAGGCTTTGGAGACTTGTCAGCTCCTTGAGTCCAGGATGCAGAGCATTCTTCGACAAATGCCGTCGGTATGTGTACCAGGACCACATATAGTTGCTTCTACCCCCTAACAACGCTTCATTTAGAATCGCGCATCCCTCCCGAAAATGGTACAATATGATTGGGTTGCGGTCGACTTCTGCTACTACGCGATTTTCGTCGAGATCGACAGAACACGCTTGAAAAGCTCGTTTAGTCCAGTAATACACAGGGAATGTCTCGTACATGCCCGACAGTCACTTGGAGCATTTCACTTTATCCAGCAGCATGCGGAGGAAATGCCGGGGTTTGAAGAGCCATATCCATCATTTCTGACATGGTTCGCTGATACTCCTGGAAGTATCCATTTCATTTGTTGACTATTAAACAGGACTTTGTTTTTCTACCCACTAAGCGCCTTCTTCGTGGTCATCTGCAACATCATCGGAACTTTGGATCATGGAGATTTCAAACTGCTTCAACAAATAACGCAGAGTTTGTCACAGTTCAAGCAAGATCCACATCTTGGAAAACTTTTAAACCTTCTCCAGTCGCTGGAAGATCTCTGCGAGCCGCTGTTCCAAGAAGCGGGTTCTGGTCCAGAAATTATATCATCAAACCTTCGTGCATCCGCCCCGAATCAGGCAATGGAACCTGTCACTACGGATGGCATTCCTCCGAGCGCCTCCTTCGATAGCAATTTTGGGCTAAGTGATGAACCAATACCAAACTCGGAGTTGGACGCCTCAGCCGATTGGCTGATGTGGCAGCTTTTCAATAGCCAAATCCCAGCGGGTTGGCTTAGCAGTGGTATGGACCCTTTTGAAATATGAACGAATGTTATCATTTCTTCTTTTTCTGCGGGGGTAGGGGCGGGGCGGAATCAGTCAGCCGGGATCACAGCGGACGGTCCCGACTGGAGCTCGGAGTGTTTCTGTTTTCGTTCGGGATTCCGGTGGCTCGGATAGTCGACTATTCTATATTAAGTTTAGCTCCATTTGAATTGTCCATCATCCCAAATCTATATCTCACATTCATAAGATAATTAACAAAAAGAATTTGAAGAATACCTAGACACAATACTCCCATTCAAAACCTTCAAGTACGCACTCAATACTCCTAATCCCTCACATACAACGGACTAACCAACCCCAAAGCCGACGCAAGGCATCATCACCACCCTACACAAGTGAACAGCCCATCACAGCCCAATATGCACTCAGAGCACGACGCAGGGTTCACAGTCCACTGCGACAGCTTGGAATGGCTTCCTCTTGCCCCCGGTGTATTTATCAAAATCGTCAAGCTAGTTCCAGAAACCGGAGAATACACAATCATGGTCCGCGCCGAACCCGGCGGTCTCCTTCCTCGCCATCGACATGTTGAAAGTGCGGAGATTTACGTTCTCAAAGGAAGCGGTGCCCACCCCCAGACTGGCGCATTTGTTCAGGGGGATTACGTTTCGGAAAGCAAGGGAGCTGTGCATGATCCTCTTCCGTTTGAGCATGAAACGGAGCTTTTGATGGTGAGCAGAGGACCTTCGGTGTTTTTGGCTGATGATGGGTCGGATTTGTATACGATGGATGTGGCGATGTTGCAGGGTATGGTTGAGAGAGCGAAATAAGTTGAGGTATTGGGGTTAGATTTGATACTCAGAAGGATGTGAGGTTTTGGACGTGAAACATGAATGTATCTTGGGCCATTAAATTGGAGGAGGGTCGGTTCGTCTGCAGTATTAATATCCCGTGTATTGCTATGTATCATTTATTTACTTATCTCCCACTACACTCTCACTACTCTATCACTACACTTCCGTTTTTCCCGGTTCATTGCATTGCTTTGCAATCGCACTCCAGATAACTTTATGAATGCTATACATTGTAGATTGCATTGAAATCCTTTGGTTCTTAGAACGAATATATTTATACACACCTGGAGGATCCAGGGAAACTGTCCGAGATAAACGTACAACCGTATCAGTGTCGGCTCGTAGTTAGAATAATGTGGTAAACGGGGTTTCAATCAGGCAGCTCCATTGCGGTCCAATGCAGTAAGAAAAAGCTCGATGAGCTGTTTACAGTTAGTGTTGACGCGTAGAAGGCTTGGAATAGTGCAGATGTACTCACCTTGCCTGTATACTTGTTTTCATTGCCAATCTTCTGACAGTCTGCCAACCACTTATCCAGACTTTCTGGAGAACAGTGTAGCATATCATTGATTGAACTGTCCTTTTCCAGTTGACTGACAAATTCCTTTCCTCGTTTATTATTTCCCACTCGAGAGAGGACGAAGAGTGCTGCTTTGTCACCGTACTCCTTCAGGCCAGGTGCATTTTTACAAGAGCGAATGGTTGATTTGAGTGTCTCCCGGCCTTGAGCTGAACGTATCTATTATTTTGATTACGGATTTTGTCAGCGCAGATATCAACAGCCTTATCGACTTATCATAAATTGGGAGTTCCTTACCTCCGCGTCAGTAAGCATTATAGTTATCACCGGCCGCTTAAGCTCCCCTGCACGGGCCTTTCTAATAATCATAGGATGGACGACATCTCGATTGACAACGTCGCCTATCTCTGGAGAGCGCCAAACCACTCTCTTGATAGCAAGAAAACTGGCATCCTTAAATATATTGTCCACTTTATCGCCCGTATCGATGTTCTCGTATAGATCCTTTTTGTCGCCGTTGGTATTGAGAAACTGGATCGTAATTCCCTTTGGCAAGAGAAGAGAAGAGATCTTGACAACTTCTCGCAATGTCCTTTGCATGACCTCCTTGTACTTATACATAGAGAGACTATTATCTAGAACACGCAAAGGATGTTAGTTCATCAGTAGTGGTATTGGTCGAGCCTTCCCTGCATTGTCAATAAACTCACCACAGACAACGACCATATCAAATAATGCCAGTTCAACCATGGCCGTTTCTTTGCCAACAGGCACATTGTATTGTTGGATAAAATTCATCATCTCAGCTGCTGCCTTTCGCACCAGCTGTTCAATAATTGGGTCATCCTCCTTGAAAAACCCGCCGTACTTATTGATGATGACGGTTTTATATTGTCGAGCCACCTGAGTGAATTCCATTAGTATATATCCTGATAAACAACGAGTAGCACACGGCCATATACTCACACGAATATTTCGTGAGGAATCGTTATTCGTCGTGGTATTTCCGCAATTCTGTTGCGTCGTGTTCCCACAGTTCATATTCATCGTGTTTCCACTGTTTTGATTGATTGACGAATAGAAGCCAGGATTTTCGTTGTTACTTCTTTTAGCCTCCTTTCCAGCAAAGTCAACTTCGGGTGGGGAGTCGAGACTCCTTGGTGGGTATGAGATTGCGCCAGTATTGTCATTGCCCTCAGTGAGTCCGGTCGGCTTCGTGGTACTAACTTCTTCGGTCACTGAAGCTTGTCGTTGACAGCCATCTTGGCCAGGGTTAGCTGGTGATGGCTCGGCATCCGAGTTTGGCGTATCCCGCATTGGCGCATCTTCTTCAGGGGTCATTTCAAGTGAAGCGCTCGGAACAGTGCTGTCAGACATATCCATTTCATCGGGCGTGATCTCGTGCACCATAAATGTAGGACCCCCCTCATTATGACTTTCTATTAGGCGTGGGGGGAGATCTCTATCCTTTTCCAGCATAAGGTGTTTGTGATGTTGGCAATATGCGCCGGAACTCTTTGCGCGCTTCTTGCACCTGCCACCATGTTTTGCGAATGCTTTACATTGTTTGGTTTGAAGCTTACCAAACTTCTTCTTAATACGGTAATTCATGGCTTAGGTCTTCAGATAACCTGGGGAGAGGGGGTGGGGGGTGGAAGCGCCGCAGTGATTTTGTGGGGTGGTATGTGAAAAGTGGAAAGAACACAATGGAGAGAAGATCGATCGTGACATAGCTTGGGAGAATAGCCACCTTATACATCCTGTTTATGCTCAGAACCTCACAGTTCTAAGTTTAGTGTGCAGTAGTAAGGCTTGTCCTTTTTTGTTAAATTTAGCTGATTTCCGAAGAATCTAGGAGAAGGAATTATGAACGCAAGTAGATCTTCCCCGGAAGGCGAAGGCGAGCGAGAAGGTGTCAGCTTAGCCACATGTACCGTAAAGAGTAACAGACTAGGCAGGGTAATCTCTTACATCATTCCCCGATAGTTCAGCATGAAAGCTGCTGAACGGGAAGCCGTCCTCGGGAGGGTTGCAGATAGGGCTTACTTGTGACGGTTGATCACCCGTCAAAGTAACACTTAATTAACTCGGGGACATTGCAATCACCCTCGGGGTTAGCAGCTCCCCGATGTTGATGACGACATCTGATAGAAGGTCACATATTGCGAATGGGGAGAGACTGTCTGTTCTGCCGCAGACGCAGGAGTTGAGAATCAGCTGAGTCCCGGCTAGCACCTGTCACATAATATGTCACCGAATCTTGCAGCTAATCCTGCACGAAGATGCTATATTTGTATTTATTGCATCCGTTTATTGATTTTGGTTTGCATTCAATGCAAATCTGTGGGTTTACCGCTGTACAGGCAGCCATGAGGGGTCAGCTCATTGCCAATATTGCAACTGTCTCGCTGTAGACCAGCCGAGCCTGGTTCGCCTCAGTGTTCGCCTCAGCGTTCTATACTGCTGTTATCTGCGTCCGAATTGAAACGAAACTCTATACATGACCCTAAGTACATACTACTTGCTGACCGACAGGAATAAGGCTCCATGCCTGTTCCTTTAGCCTATGGAATCACCACTACGTTAACATTGTAGCCTACAATACAATGCACTAGTCTCTAGCTTTTGTTGCACACTCACCATTTGCTTCACGATACTAATGTGTGATTGTGCCATAACCACCAGAACATGGATTGAAGGTAGAAGCAGCTATACAAATCCTGTGTCCTTCACGGTTATCCACATGGCCTCTTGACTGTTGAGGGTACTCCAAGTTCAGGCGTGGGACCATTTCCACCCTTCACATTGTCCGAAGTCTGCACATGGTAGAAACCTCTGGCGAATTACCCGGTCTGATTGGCGTACTAATTGCTTAAGCGAAAGACGCAAAGTAGGAAAGAGAAAAGAGCGAGTTGATGTAGAGAACCGGTGGATAAAAACCCTGTGGCTAGACTATACGCGGCTCAATGGCTGCTATACGGATTCGAAGTTTGACCGAAGTGAAGAGGCAATCGCCAAACTATATGTGATTTTTCTTCTATTTTTTTCATCCTTGTCCGCGGGGTATATCTTGCCAGATCGATGAGCTTGGGCTAACCTAGTGAGAGATCGCGGGCATTCTTGGACAGCTTTCGAGCAGCAATGGTTAGTGCATGCATGTTTAGGGCGTGTCTACGGGGTGGCCGTGGAATAGGAGTTGTCTAATCGTCCCAGCGATCGGCGTGTCGGACAGACATATCCGATTCACTTCCACCGCCATATTGGTGTTATGACATGCAACACGACCCAAGCCTTCAAATCTGTCGTAGCCAACATAGAGATGCATATTAGCTGAATGGTCTTTTTGCCCTTTCGGTAGGGATCAACAGGGCATGACTCGACATATGCAGCTAGCCAGCACACCCTTGTTGATTGGGACCAGCCCGCCTTTCTTTAACAGACTTGCTGTAGAGGAAAGTGTTGATTCAAAAGAAAGCAACGAAAGAGTGAATTTCTGTCAGTCAAATATACACGGTTATTGTCCGAAATCGTCAATTGCGCTATACTTGAGAAATTCGTGTGCTTTGCGGTACTGCTCTGAGACTTAAGGGATTTAGGGCCGAATCAAGCTCAAAGTGCAGGGCAGTGCAGTTCATTTCCGAAGTGCTATTGCATCATTTGGTACGATATCTGTTCCCCCATGATACATTCATTGTGGCTGTGCATACAGCACGCCGAACTCCCTGCGGCATCTGCGCCCCTACTTCGGAGTTACCTGATCGCCTTGTACCCAACTCCTCAGCTCCTTGCCACCAAAGTAGCCACTCAGGTACCTGTGCAGCCAGGCCTTTGCAATGATGTAGGCCATAAATTGAACCAAAGCCACACAGATGGCAGGCATTGATCATTCTTCTCAAACTCAAGCTCACCCTCTCTCACACTCACTATTTCTTGCTTAGTTAGCTGTTCGATTGAATCATCCCATTACTCAGATTTCTCACCAGATCATGTGTCACAGAGGCTGGAGGCGAGGAAAATCGGAACTAGAGCTTCTCCCCGTCTCCATTGGTGACCCATCCGGTAGTTCTCGACTCAGAAGTTGTAAAATGAGGGGCTGCTGACGCCTGCAAGCCCAGGTAAAACATCGCTTGTTTCAGTGTCACGGTTCGGCCTGGGATGTATCCCCAGTTATGCTCGATAACAGGCGAGTAGAGGAGGACGGTCTGATTGTTTCCAACTGAATCGTCTTGACAAAAGAATACCGTCTGTTCGTATGTGCTTATGAAGCCAAACTTCAATTCCAGATCCCTCATGTACATTGCTGGCTGCCCTATAGTTTGGTCAGCTATACGTTACATATTCATAGAAGTAACGACTATTCACCGAATAGATGCCGCAATGTATCCAGGTCTTCAAATGCCCGACGGATGTCGTGTGGTCTTGCCCAAGGGGTCTTTTCCTCACCCACCACCAGTGGTGCTCCTGCTGCATTGCGCATCATAGTATCGGGGACCTTTTGATACTCCTTTTCGACAGTACAGGACTTGAAGTCACCCAAACGAATATCGAGACCTTGCGATAGAAATATACCCCCCATAGCCTGTCCTATGAGCTGGGTAAATCTACCTTGTACTGAGTGCTCGTCACCAACGTACGTCTGCTCATAGGACAGGCTATGGGGGAGCGCTGGCAAGGGCTCGTGGACGTCGACAACCGAAGTTGCCCATGGGAAGAGGCGGAAGCAATTCTCGACATCATTTATGAAATTAGGCCATGGGGCCAATTGTCCAACAAAAAATACGTCGTGAATAGCACCACTTTTGGTGCTTCCGGGGCCGACCTGGAGGTCCGGGAGTGGCTGCAAGACGAGGTCCCGACCATCAAGGGCAAGAGTTCCAGAAGGAGGAGAGAACGGCATCTTGCAGGATCTATCAGTTTTTCTTGACTGATTCGAATAACAGGAAGCTATACAGCAGATTCTCTGGATACATGTAGAGTACTTCATTCAGCAACAAGCCTGGAAATCCTAACACTAAACCAATGTGGGTCATCACAAACTTCATGTTTGTCTAACAGTAATAGCCATTAAGCACGTCCTGAGCCTTCTAGTGTTAGCTTATCTTCAAAGTCATATTTTACCAGCAGCTACACGTGTCGTAATGTATGGTTGAACACAAGTCCTTGTTTCTCACTTTCTGCAGGTGAACCAAGGACAGGAAAAGACTGCCACCAGTGTTGCCTTTTCGAAACAGAGATCCTTCCCATAAGCGGCCCGTTGTAGATGCCCGATTATGTCTAAGTCGGGAAATTAGATTATCTAGACGACGAAATTCTAAGAATTACGGCCATGCCCCCTCATTGTTTTCCATTTCCTTGAAAGATGTCGTTCACCTAAGCCCATAAAGACTTCGAGTGGGGCCAAAAGCCGAAATGCTTTGACCCCTAGACGTGGGGCAACATATATAAATCAATCAACCCTTCGTGATTTCTCAGAACAGAGAATGCTAAATATTGGCCGTGCCACAATACCTTGTTAGTATTGGTTGCCGGCGGGGTGGCTCCGTTACCTCTGGATACTCATCTCCTGTACGCCGTAATTGTGACTGGGTGGACACCATATTTGTCTGTTGTCAAAGCTTGAGTCTGGAAGCGCAGCACACGACAGCTTTCTCTTAAGGTAACTATATGGGATGCTCACATCAACTTGGTTAGTCTCAAATTTTTCGTGGATGAACCGCCCGATTGTTCATTCTTGAATGTTACACCAGAGTTCGATGGCCATCCTTATTCCCCTCGTGCATTAGCTCGAGCCCAATCAGGCCCCAGATTGATGTTATCAAATCCAAGCCCATCGGCCACGCATCTGACTTTGTCCGTACCAAAGCACCGACTTAGCACGTATCCAACAGCACTACCTATACTGCGTACTCCACTCGTTTTCCGACCAAAGGTGTTACACCCATTAGAGGCTAGGCCCGAGTCTTCAGGGAAAAGATAGTGCAATACCATCACGTGCTAGACACATGATGAGGAAAACAACAAGTCTAGTATTTCAGCATTGAATATGAAATTGCCGGAGGTTAAGAGACATTCGAGTCTAGCATTGTCGCATGATGGCAGCTCCATCACATACCGGTGCCACACCAACTCTGCCCTGAGGCATGCAAGTTGTGGTTCCCCATGGGTTAAGGTTAAAGGGGCTGTCTAGCATCACCTCTGGGGAGACAGCTGTCCCAATCATGAAGACATTGTAAAACATGGCATGATGTAGCAGACTACTTGAATTCTTTGTATGATAATGATCATATTGATTTATAAAGTATCCGGGAATTCCCTCTGAATGAAATTTTGATCATACAGACTAGAAAATAGAATCATACATATGGTAGTATACTACAGGAAGCAGGACACAACTTTATTTAAGATAATATACTAGAGGTATTCAGAATCTAATACTCCTGCACACTGTGATCACTCATACTCTATACTCAGTTCTGGTCCTTTCATGTTTCACTTGTTCATGCTAGTGTGGCTTAGTCCATGACTAAAGTATCGATCCAGATACTGCTGGAACTAAGATCTATAGTTGTATCAGCTTATTTACTCGTGTAGAGGTCTGAATGAGTTTATGGTTATTAGCATGCATCAGTTCCAGACTTCCAGTAGTTAAATAGTTGGAATGAATAGATGAATAGATATATCACTCCCTATTCCACAAAGAAAACAGTTCCACTCAAGTAAGGGAGAGAATATTGATGTTGTTCCCATCCGGACGGGCCACCCGCCCGCGTCAGTGTGACGACCTGAAAGCTATGATGGCATGGGATGGAGACACCACGTAAAGCGGAGCAGGATGGCAGTATCATCATCATTCGACCATGGTTTTGGTCTAACCATACAAGCTCCGCAACTACCTGCTTACAGTTTGACTATATTATACATTCCCTCTGGCCATCCGTTCGGCGGTGGTAAGTAGTTAAGTAATACCACGAGATTCCAAACTTATAAAAAAGACCTGTATCATCTTAAAATCCTCATCCAGAGTCTAGATGTGTTACTGATTGACTTCCAGTACAATTCTGGAGGCACTAACACATTATAAAAGTTTGATAGGGAATTGCGGGTCGAGTGAGTGAGTCCTATGTTATTCACTGGCAGTGACAGGCTATTCACATCCGACAGAGGATGTAAAAATGACGGCCGCCGCCCTCAACCTCTTCTCTGTCAAAACACATCTCTTCTCAGTCCCTGTGCTCCTTGCTAAGGGTTCTCAAGCCAACATTTTAGTCTCCACTTAATAACTACTCTCGTCTCCTAGTGAGATCATCATGTCTCCTCGCTGGTTTGGTCGGGAGGAGGTGAGCCCAGGCGTCATCGTCGAGCTGGAAAAGCGATGGCGCATTCTGAGTCACGAAGAGGAGGTGGTTATGCAGGGTAGCGAGCAAAGAACTGCCAAGCAGTGTCGTCCATATGCCTGCATCTTGCTGAAGGTACGACAAGTGGGCTCTAAGCCACCAGTTTACGGAAATATGAGGATCTACAAGCAGATTCCTACAGAGGAGACAGTCGGCGACCGCCCCGCAGTACGAGCCAAGCAAGCGAAAGTTTGGGTTCCCCGTGAGCTCAGAGCATACCGCCAGCTCATGCTCAAGAATTCGACCTTTACCCCCAAACTTCTGGACAGCTTGGAGGGAAAACAAAATGCCGACAGCTTGGTACCTGGGGGTTTCATAGTCTGGGTGGTCTCCGAGGAGATCTCCGGTATTCGCTTGGGAGACGAAGAGAGTGATGATATCTTCTGGTCGATGGAGTACAGTATCCGTGACCAAATTCGCAATTCCTTCAAGGAGAGCTACTTGTAAGCTGACCTCCATATCCCTGACTATCCGATTAGCTGTTAGATAACCCGAAGACAATCACTAACTGCTCTCTCAAGAAAAATGGCTAGCTGGGGATGGCTTCCTTTTCATCGTACCTGTGAAGATCTGGTCTGGGTTCCCGAATCATCTACCCTGTAAGTTATACCAGTTTATTCCTAATCAATTCCCTCAAGCTGACCAAATCCGTCTAGGTTTTTCGTGAACTGGTTTATGCCCACCGAAGTAGTCGCGCCGCGCAATTGGGAGGAAGGAATCTTGTACGGCTCTGGCCTCCTCAAGCCTCCCGCGTCCCCGACTTTCTCTATTCAGCTTTGGAATAATAGTGTTGAAGGCTGGCAGGGTTGAGGAATTTGATCTCCGTATAGGAGAAGATGTCCGGTGGGTCTGGAGACGTTTCTCAGGTGGCGATATCAAGTCGGCGTTGACCGTGGGTTACTTTCCTATCTTAACACTAGCTACATTCAAAAATTATGTGATTTGATTGATCGTTTGCGAGTCATGAGTACTATCTTGAGTAATATCATACATTCGAAAGTCCGCAAGATGTCAAGAGTCTACTGATGAATTTGAACACAGGCAATTGTACTATTAGTATTTGTGTAGACTGGAAAAACCAAAGTTAATCAAGCTGTAGTTCCATCTTCTGAATCAATATTTCTCACCTGTGACTAGTCTCGTGAGCCATGATTCTTCGGTGCTCAATTCCGAGAAGTGACGTTGAAACCTATGCAATTAATGCACATCAATAATGCAGCTGACTCATCAGCACAACACCACCTCGGAACAAGGCAGCGGCATCGCATGCGCATCGCATCGCATCAACCTTATCGTCACGTCCAACGCCCCAAACCGCCGCCGTCGCGCTGGTTCGCCGAGCACCATCTCTATACCCTCCCTACCACCACATACTACATTCTACACACCCACCCGCCCACCATGCAAGGCTTCAGTACGTCCCTCCCCACCCATTCACATCACCCACTAACAACCCCCAGACATGGGACGCTACGTCCCCCCAGACCTAGAAGGCCTCACAACGGGCAACAAGCTACACAACAAACACCCCCTCGGCTCACGCGCCCGCAACCTACAATCCACCGGCGCCCTAACCGTGCGCTTCGAGATGCCGTTCGCGATCTGGTGCACAACATGCCAACCGCACGAGACCATCATCGGGCAAGGAGTCCGCTTCAACGCCGAGAAAAAGAAAATCGGGAATTACTACAGCACACCGGTATACAGTTTCCGAATGAAGCACGGGGCTTGTGGTGGGTGGATCGAGATACATACGGACCCGAAGAACACGGAGTATGTGGTTATTTCCGGTGCGCGGAGGAGGGATTATGGGGTTGATGAGGAGGGGAGGAAGGTGGGGGAGATCGTTACTGGGGTGGATAGTAAGGGGAAGATGGATGCGTTGGAGAGGTTGGAGGGGAAGGTGGTGGATAAGAAGCGCGGGGCTGAGGAACGGGATCGGATCTTGGAGTTGCAGGAGAGACAGAAGAGGGATTGGGAGGATCCGTATGAGAAGAGTAGGAGGATTAGGAAGGTGTTTCGGGCGGAGAGGAAGGGGCTGGAGAGGAAGGAGGAGGAGAGGGAGAAGTTGAAGGATAAGTTGAGTTTGGGGATTGAGGTTGTTGATGAGATTGAGAGTGATCGGGTCAGGGCCGGGTTGGTGGATTTTGGGGAGGGCGCGGTGGATGGACGGAGGGCGAGGATGAAGCCGTTGTTTGGGGAGGATGAGGTACGGGCTGGTGGGGGGAAGAAGGAGGGGAAGAGAATGAAGGCTAAAGAGGTGCTTGAGGATCGGAAGGCTGCTTTTCGGAGTGAGTTGAGAGGGAATACGAGGGCTGCAGTGGACCCGTTTTTGAGTGGTGATTCCGATGCGTGGAGGCCTGAGGTTAAGAGGAGGAAGGTTGTCTCTGGAAGTAAGTCCGGTGATGGGAAGGAGAGCGCTGAGAATGGCTCGGAGATGGAGAAGAGTGCTTGGGAAGTGGGAGAGACACCCCGTCCGAGCCTTGCGTTGGTGAGCTATGCGTCGGATTCGGAGTGAGTGTGTCCTGTGGTTCTTGCATCTCTACGAGGCGTTGCGTTGGTTTAAAAAACGATGATACCCCGGGTTTGGAGTTAGAGCATAAACGGCATGTCAACTTTTTACGATTCACTTATGTATGCGAATGATATCATGCAAGGGTATAAGTACAGAAAATGCTCGAGCAAGCAGAAGTAGCGATTACTTAGCCCAGGGTGCCTTAGTCGTTACGTCCCCTTGAGGGTCGGCAGCACCAGGAGCCGGCCCTGGGGCTGCATTTGCCCATGGAGCCCTCGTCGGAGCCATCGGGCCGGGCGGTAGCCGGGACGTGTCGGGCAGAGTTGGTCCTCTAGCCGGACCTCGTGCTGTTGCCCAGGGTGCGGCAGTTCCGCTGGTTGGAGGGACAGCTTGAGATGTAGCCCATGGGGCTTTGGTTCCTGGACCAGAGGCCTGGGGAGCTTCGGTTTGTCGAGGTTGTGGCGCGGAGGACGTGTGAACGGTAGAGGGCTGAGGTATGGCGTTTGGATCGCGATCCCAGCTGAACAGAGAGCCGAACGGGAAGTGCTGTACCACGGGGAACTTGGACAGCACTTCGGCGTTGTACATCTTGATCATCCCCTGTCTCCAGTTAGTGTACGTAGTACATCTCCATTTGCACCACAAATACCTTGTTAATCTTGGCCCAGCCGGTCTTGATGCCGGAAATATCGTAGAGCATTGGACTATGCTCCCAGAATGGGCCCTTCTTCACGTCGTAGATAAAGCCGATGGCAGAAAAGTAGAGGTTCCCACGTCTTTCCCGTTCTACCACGTTCACCTTGGCAACACCGGTCGGGTCAGGTGCATCGGGCAAAGAACCTTCTTCTGGGACTCGATCCGTCTCCGATATAGCTGGAGCAAACTGCGCTGAGCCGAAGATATAGGGAATGAAAGAGTGGTCGTCCAGTCCCCACACGCCGTGGGAACCGGCCGGTTCCAAGGTATAGGTTTTGATAATTGTTCGCACTAGCTCAAGGTATCTAGCAATAATCAGTGTCGTTCAATCGAGACTAGCGATATACCCACGGCTGAATGACACCCAAAACAATGGCTCTCTCTTCGACACCAGATGTGCTCTGTGGAAATCCATGCAACTTCCAGAGCCCAGCCAGGAAGGCCAGGAAGCTCAGTTCATGACCAGTACCATAGTCTAGACGTTGAGGGCTTCCCCAGCTTCCTAGAAAATATGCCTTGAGCTCTACTGCCGCCGTAGGCCCCTCGGGGTCTGCTGACTTGCGATTGAGGACCTCCGGAGAGAGACACTCCTCGAGGAGGCTGGAAACACGGCTTTCAACAATCTCGTACCACCTCCTAAAGCTGATGTTTCCAAATCTACGGGGGCCTTTATCGGGGGGAGCTTCCTCGAGAATAGCTTCTAGCTTGGAGAGCAGCTGCTGGAGTTGGCGAACCGGCGCGGAGTACTCCACAGCATCAGAATTCAAGGGCCAAGTCTGAACGCGCCCATCCTCAAGCTTGGCTGGAAACATTGACCGATTAAGCTGGAGGAGGAATGTCATGATGTCCACATAAGCTTTAGAACACAGAAACTCGGAGACATCGCTGTGCTCGTGGATGCGTTTGGTGGGCTCGGCGAACGTGTGCCCCACCGCGGGGTCAAGGGTGGGCAACACACGGACTGAAGGGAGGTCCGCGGCCATGATGTAGCTAAGCGTGTGGGAAAGTAATTGGATAGAAGGTATACAAATGAGCGTGGAAGCAGGCGGAGAGAAAAGGGAAATGAAGGATGGTGGGGGGAGGATGGAGGAAGGTTGGCTCGCAATCTGGCAGGGGGCGGGGCCTTATCGATAAGGCGGCCAAGTGATGACGCCCGCCGATCACGGGAAGCACGTCGCGATCCAAGCTTCCCACCAACCAGCTCCTTCGCCGCCGTCCCTGATCCCCGACGGGCTTGACAGGTCCCGTTAGGTCCAATTATTGTTTTCCAGGGGGGCTGGTATGCTTTGCTTTGCTTTGCTGCTGCCTCTGCATTTTATGGGTGCTCAATATGTCGGACTCGCCGCGTCCTGTGCAGCGGAGGAGGAAGCGCGATTCCACCCTGCAGGCGGTCGACCTTTTGAATGGCCTCATGGATACTAACACGCAGAGGACTGCGTCCCGGGCGAATCGACCCGGTCCCGCCACCCCGCATCCCTCGCGTCGGCTCACGTACTCTGTCAGGAGAGATGCTACCGACATGATGGATGAGGTTGGTCCGGTTTCTCAAACTGTGCCCCAAAGGCCAAGACACGCCCACCGAATCGAAGTCACTCCCCGTCGGTCATTAAGGTTCTCGGAACCCGTGCCTGATGGAACCACTCGGGATGGGCGCGATCAAATGTTGCAGCCTCCCAAAAGCCCAAAATCCGAGCATGAGTCCGGCGCTCAGTCAGATGAGCCAGGTGAGGTGCAGTCTTTAGAAAAGGCAGAAGAGGGTTTCGGGAATGACACTCATGTAATTTCCCCACGCCCAAGTGCTGAGACTACAGCCGAATATTACTCGTTAAGCGACGCTGAACGTGATAATGAAGGCGATCATATATCGTCCCAGAGTGACGAAGAGATGCTTGATGGCGAAGATCTGGCATCAGAAGTGGAATTTTTCTCAAATAATGATGGAGACGCCCACCAGTCTACCGGCCGGCCTACCCCATCGCCATCTTCCAGCCAAGAAACTCCTGGTCGTAAACCCAAGACACATTCTGGCAGCGACACAACTTCAGAGCCAACATTAATAGAATTAAATGAAGACACGAGCAACGAACAGTGGAGAGATGCACCCGAACAGCCGGCCGAGAGGCGAGACTCTAGCCGCAGTGATGCTTCATCGACACAGCGATTTCCCACAATAGCGGTTGAGATAAGTACAGCAACGCCTTCATCATCCAATATCTCAAAAACGGTGGACCACCAAGCGGGTGAACCATCGAGGGATAGTGAAACGCGAACACTAAACCAAGAAGCCAATATTGTCGGCGGCACACAGGACGAAGACCCACCATACCAACCTTCAGAGGCATCCTCATCATCGGTGCCTTCTCCTGAACCTAGCTCATTCGAGGATGACCTTCAGCATCATTCTGCGGAAGCAAGTCCGCGGTCCTCAGACCCAGCACGGCAATCCACGAAACGGAGACACTCGACTACGAGCTCACAGGGTACGAACAGAGAAAAGAACATACAGCCCGAACAACCAACGTCCACTGCTCGTCAGCAGGCCAGCTCCTTTATTCCCAGAGAGAGTCCCGCTGATAGTCCCCAGCCCTCCCGTGACGCTAACCACCGTGGGGAACAACATGCTACGGAATGTGCTTCCCAGGGAGCCATAGCCAGGTCTGCCACCCAGGACGACCCTACCCAAGAGAACCCGGATCAGCGGAGTCATGGGGCTGAACGCCCGGAAGATAGCGCGTGGTTCAAGGAAGCCTCTGAACTTGGCGGCCAGGGCTCCAATTGGAGAAAGCTCATTCAGAGCATGCACCCTCGAAATATAGCTTTCAATGTCAAGAAAGTCGACATTGAGTTTGAGCCTCTGAAGCGTGAATTATCCTCATTGATACAGGCCTACAAAGGGATTATCGAGTACTTGGCGTCTGATATTGGACCACCAGAGTATGACGTGCGCAGCTGCAGCGCGACGCTTGAAACGGTTGACAGACAAGGACGCCGTCACCTGGAGAAGGCTTACACACTCTCGACTCAAGGGGATGAGGTGGGAGGCGGGGCACTGGTGGAAGAATTCGAGATCCAAATCTTCCCGCTGTTAGTGCGGCTGGTTCTCGTCTGTTTTGAAGCTTACTACGTAGAACATCGACTCTTCCCGGAGGCATACGGTCATTTTCAGCATGCCATGAGAGTACTGCTAGGGCGATGCAATCAGATCGGCGGTCTTGTTCGGGGAAAATATGTGGCGTGCCGGGCCGTCAGCCCGAGCTTGCGTCTGCCCCTGAAGCGACTCCTTGAATCGCTTGAAAACGGGCACCTGAAAAAGGGCCACCGACGGAAAGATGTGGAGGTTGATAGGAATGCGAAGGCGCCGACAAAAACTGCTAAGCAGGGCCAGTCCAAGCCGACGAAGCCGAGCACTCCGGCACAGGCTTGGACAGATGAAGAGGGCTACGCTCTGGTCGAGGGGTTGCAACGATTCCAGGGTAAGTTTTAAGCTCGTCTGCTTGGCAGGAAGGGAGGCGCAGCGCGACATGCTCACAAGATGCGTTTAGGTCCGGACCGCTACAATCGAATCTGTGAGTTCTACCACGATGGCATCGGTCAACGCGGGGAGAGGGAAGTGCGTAAACAAAGCGAAAGACTGTATCACCAAATGCTCCCGCAAATCCAGGACATGGCGCGGAGGGGAGAAGACCATTGGGATTGGGGGTGGCTGTTGAAGGTGGTGGAGTGATGATGAAATATATATTTATCTTGGCTGCGGTAATGATATTTTTGAGCGCAGTCGTGTCATATACCCCAGGAGTTTTGTTGATTTTCTCCCGTTTTAGTGCTTAGCGATTGCTGCCAGGGTACTCTAATTGCGTGAATGAAATTGGGATGTGATTGTCAGTCTACGTGGACGGAACCATGGAACCAACAACGGGCATTGTTTATTCTACGGCCGGTTTAGGGGGGACAACACGCGGAGCCCCCAGCAATGGCAACCATGGGATCAACCTAGCTGGGAGACGCACAACCGTGGCCTGCAGCTGCAACAGCAACAGCAGTACTGAGTTGGTCGTGACAAGGAGCGCAGTGGTCTGAACGCGAGACGAATACTCGATGGTAGATCGCTAGACAAGCGATAGTGAGGATAGTGAAGATAGTGAGTGGGAATAATATTGAGTTGACAGGCAATAGATCAGTTGACCTCCTGACCGCCGACCGCCCATTCCATGCCTGAGGCCAATCAGGTGAGGTTCTCCATTCTTTCCCTTCTTTCCGCCTTTCCCCCCTCCTCTGCCTCTCCTCCGGTTCGACGATTCCTACCCTTT